TCCGTGTGTATCTCCATGTATCTCCATGTCTCAGTGTGTGTCTCCGTGTTTGTTTGCCCAACTGCACATGCATGACCGAAGCAGTTGAGAGGGCCTGGGGTTTGGGTTGACAGCTGTCGGTCACACTGCGTCACGAGCAATGGAGGGCAGGGTGGGGGGGGTGGCACTTGAAGTTTTTTCGTGGAATTCCGAAAATATATGTGGGACATCTTGGACTTCACTGCAGCACATCCATGTGCCCCGTGGCACACCAGTTGCAAGCACTGTCTTTGTTACAGATGTTGTGCAATAATACGGTTTTTTCATTATTACTACTATGGTATAACTTAAATAAACATGTATTCAATATAACATTCTGCAGCACTCAGTCCAGCTTCAAGTTCAGCCAAGCACACCTCTTTACCCCCTGAGGATTTAATAAAACTTCTCACGATTACCCCAACTGTATGTGCCAAGTCAAAATGAACCTGATAATCTTCACACGGAAATCGGACTCGGCACCACTCCACCTTAAGTCCCGCAGAAACCGATACAAGAATGCAGCCAATGTTGGCACACTGGAACGCGCAAAATTAAACGTTACTTAACTGCCTCCCAGCCTTCAAAGTGGCAGCCCGAGTTGTTATTCTTTAATTAACTCCAATATGAGAAGAACAGGTCTGCTAGAGCAAATACTGCAAGTTAATAACTTAATTATACGTGCATCTATCATCAATAGTTACAGTAACATGTAATGTGTAATACAACTGTTGATACGACAGGGCAGGTTCAACCCATTGCAGCAGTCAGCGTACCGGATGTTCCACAGCACTGAGACGGCTCCACGAAAGATCACTGCTGACCTCTGCAAGATCATGGATGACCGGTGCATCGCAGCATTGGTTGGCCTTGATCTCTCCGCTGCCTTCGACACCGTCGACCATGAGATATTCATCGGGCGGCTAAGGTCAAGGTTCGATATATCGGGTACGGCACTGGGGTGGATTGAGTCATACCTACATCAATCACAGTTCGTCAAGCTGGGTAACGAACAGTCATTGCCCAAGCCCTGCCTAGTTGGCGTACCACAGGGGTCCGTCCTCGGGCCCTTCCTATTTTCAACATACGATTCTCCGATCACTGATGTAATCTAAATGGCATGACATCAATTTCCATCAATATATGCTGATGACACTGAGGCTTGGTGGGGAATTATTTTCCAATGCTGTAGAATATTATTTCAGAAGCCACTGGAGCTTTGCACTTTCAAATCTAGATTTAAATCTGATTCCTTTAGAACTGCTTTTTGTGTTTCATTTGTTGTCCTTCCCCCGTACCTTCGATTAGCACAGTTAGCTACGTACGTTCAGAAAAAAATTCAACAAATTCAGACAAACTAAATCCTGGGTGCTATGAATATAAGTATCCTTAAGAAAGCAAAATAAAGTATAGTAAATACCGTCGCAATGTAATTTCTTCTACGGTATGTCTTAGTTGTCACAAGCATTTACATTAAATATACACCACCTATAGGATTTACGGGAAAATCTGAATATTGGACAGCAAATGGACATCTGGCTTGCCTTTCCCAAACATTTATAGATCTGGGTTTATAGCAACGCAATTAGTTGGGCCATATTTCCTTGAATCTGAAAGTGAGTGGTACATACTCATTAATCATTTATATTCCCTTTCATGGTCTGTGTCCTTGGAAGTGGCAATCACTCAAAGATGGAAATGAGGTTCGCATACATTCAAGCAGGCACAAGCCATGGACCAAAAGGTTTAGCTTTAATAATTCCACATTTACATAAAATGTTAGGCTTGTCTAAAGTGTGTATCCCAGTCTTATTAATTATCATCCATAAGTCTGCCATGCCTTATAGCAATTTATCCTACAGGAATCTATAAGCCCATTTTAACAACGTATCGGAATGCTTCAGGCATTCTAGATTTTTCACATTGGAACAATTGTTATCTTTCCTATGAGGAAATATTCGGAGAATAAAGTTGCTATATAAAAGGGTTGACCGAACACAGACTAGCTTGACGACATGAGGGATTGGTGCCAGAAAGATGTGCACTACTTGAGCATATATTGTCATAAGACACAGGCAATTGGAAACAAATGACAACATGTGCAGTGGACACCTACAGGCTATCTGCCCGTGGATTATGATGACAAAAGGGGTTTAACTATGAAGTGCATCACACTACAATGATATGTAATGTACAAATTGTGCTATTACTTTATTTACTTATTAGAGCTGGGCTGTCTGATTGCTTAAGTATATATTGGTTTGATTGCTGGACTAATCGGTTAACACGACAAAAAGTCTCACCCACGTGTGACGCTGGACGGGAGATAATGGGAGGGGCCTTAAGACGTCATTTATATCATGAGCCGCATCACGTTGGGCATAGTTTGTAGGGGCGGCCGCTATTTTTAAAGGGTCCGAGTAAGCGAGGACAAAAAAGGTGTCGATTGTAATATTTTTTTAATTTATTGACAAAACTAAATCATCGTAGTTTTAAAATGTTTTATATCGTATATACACAGTGTGTGTTGCCCTTTATTATATGCCATAGATATACACTACTGAGTAGATGAGCACTAATTCAGTTACATATTGGGCACTCACTCAGTTGAAGGCAAGGCTTTTTTTCTCTGGGGGAATGATACTAAACATAGATGATGGTATATTTTTTAGTGACATGATGGAAGCACTGGATTGATCTGCCTGTCTCCCATCTGTTATTCGATTTAGACATACTGTACTGGTTTCCAAGTAACCATAGCAGAAAAACTTGTACACCTGCTCTGACCAAATTAGATATAATCTATCGGCATTTTAACACCTCATCGAATATCCATTGTATGCTAGTGTGCAGATTCTATGCATAATTTACACTTAGGTAAATTGAGTGCACAAAACTCTACGTAAGTGCCAAAAAAAAGACAAGACACAATACGAGAAAGACAATAAAATGACAAAATAGAATTCTCAAATGGACATGCAACCTTGAATTATGACGATTCATGGAATAGATGGAAGGGGCCGAGGGTCAATCGTTGTGCGTGTAATAAGCTTAGTAAACAGGATGTTATTCGAAAGGTAATGTAGTGAACGCAAACAATTTTAAAAACAAACATTTCTATGTTAAAATGTGTTGTTTTCTCACATTTTTATTGTAACTTTGTCGGAAATGACCATTAACTTTGGGGTGCAATACAACACCGGACCATGTGTTATTTTATCCTGTGGCATAATTACAATGACACTTGGCCTGGTGGGGAACGATTGCAAATGCTGTAGGATATTACTTGTATACACTCCATCCTGTAATTTACTTTTCCACGGGACAAATTACACCAATTTTAATCAATAACCTACCGATAATTCATGATCTAAAACATGAATAACAAATATAATACACTATTCATAATCCATGGCTAAAAGCAGGGGCGCTGAAAAGTGCAATCATTGTTTAACCATGATACCAGGTGCGAGGGGGGCATGTCAAGACGATGGTTTGACCAAGCATTATGAAATGCCACAAGATTTTTAAATTCCGTGCTAGGATTTGGCCAAGAGGCAACAATTTAAACCCTAGCTCCCTATTGATACAAACGCATTATCTCCAACTGGCACGAGAAATGCGTGGTGTATTGAAAGCCATTTAGAACAGCGTACCTGAACAAGCATTACGATACAACCCAGGGGCCCAAAATTCGTAGTAATTATATATGAAAGCAAACATACACTGTAGCAAAACACTCAGTCATAGAAAAAAAATCAAGCTGGCAGTCACCATCTCTTACAAAGTACAGCAAATTCACAACAAGAATAGATGAGGACTCATTCAAAAATACTGTAATACTATACATGATTGGTGCTATGATTAATCTTCTGCCCCTTTTTCCCTGGCATTCCATGGATGCGAGTCATTTACATTTGTTTAGTCCCTGTACACGTAGCTTCTCGTGAATAGCACCGAACAACACCAGAGAGCTAGGCAGCACAACCACAAAACTACTTTGCAGCTGTATGTTTTTTTTACTTTCATGAACCTAAGCACAACTCGAAGCAGACATTGTGCATTTGGAGCCTCCTGAATCTCTATATCTTAACAAATCGACGCATCATTACACCGCTACAATACATTACTAAATTTGACTTATTTATTTTTTTGAAATTAACTGTTATTTGTGAGAAAGGAATATATTTGACCATAACTCAGCATTATGAGTCATAATTACAATGTAACCGAGGCCTGGTTGGCAACTAGTAACAGACACGTAGGAAAGAACATGTATGAACGCTACACATGCGCACTTTGTGACTGCGGCAGTTAACTGTGTCGGAGCTTATTGGGCAACTACAGTTAACTAAAGTTATGCACAAGACACTCAGCCACGTTCCCCCTATAATAAAGAAGAAAAAAGCATCCACAGCATCTGAATTATCAAGACCTATGTTACCTTATTTTCTAAATCCAAAATTAATATTACCTATTTGTTCCACAATAAGCTAAATCCCAGATGAATAACAATAATTCGAAATGTACTTGAACTTTATTTCGAACAAGACAATTTGTTTCTAAAAACAACCCGTCGTGACCTGCGATTTCAACCGAGCATGTAAATGGACACAATCACCACACACTTGTACCGACAAGGCAGGTACATAGCAAGAAAAAAATATAGAGTTTGTAACAGTGTTTTCTTTATTAATGTACTTGTCTGAAAAGTGATCGCACTCGCACCATGCTGGTCCCGCATACTCGCATGACACAACAGCCCCCCCCCCACCAAGCTGAATTAATTTCCATTCTATGCAATATTTATGCGCAGCTCATGCGTTTGCATTAAACGCAAATGCCAATTTACATTTAGCTTGGACAGCCAATACAACTACACTGGAACAATTTTACATACGGTATTAAACACAAGCGTTCACGGATAATTACACAAACAAGCCCTTTCACAATATTTGCATTTGAACTGTGCTGTTGCTTACCCTGTGGCTCAGAAAGTGTCGGAGAATCAGATATGCTGTTGTCAACGTGGCCCTGTTCGTCGCCACCGAGGACCGGCCTTTGGGAGTGCTCTTGGTCCGAGCGTTGCTCTCCCGGCGACACGGGGAGGCACTCGTCGGAGCTTGCGCTCCTTCGCTCCTCTGCTTTCCTGCTGTGGCCTGACCCGCACAGCCGGCCCAGTGTGTTCATGCTCAGAAAAGACGGCATTCTAAAAACTACTCGCCACTACCAGCCTTTATAAACAAAACTGTCAGATGAAAAAAACAATACGGTAATACTGAGAAAGTAAAAAAAACTCAACTCCAAAAATTATGGTAATCAAATGCTTCGAATATATCGGAGACCATTTAGTGTACGGTGGACGTGACTAACTAAATGGCGTAGTGCGTTTCAGAGCCTCTGTCCCTATTACTCAATCTCCTAGCAGAGGCTTATCAGATTAAACAAGGCCATGTTAAGTCAGCTGACATGGCTTTCATTCTAATTCTAGACAGTTATCTGGAATTAGACATTGAACCCTGACTACACGATGTACCTGACCAACTATTCAGGTGGCAACCAAATGCAATAAATCAAAAAAGCGATTTGCGATATTATCAGCAAAATTTGTCAACAAAAAAGTGCAATAAGAGGCAAATTAGCATCGGTTGCTAAAATCGTAATTTCATTTTAAATAACAAAATTTCATCCTTAAAAAAATAAAATTAATTTGAAGTATAATATCAATGTTCACAAAATTATAAAGAACTCTTAATTTAATTGTAATTGTGCTTGCCGTGCAGCTTTTGCACTTCACTTATACTGTATATATATTATGCGTTAAAACCAGTAACGACAGCGACGTAGGTTCCTTTAGAAAACACACTCATGACTTTCTGAAGGACAATCCTGTAAACCTTTATTACCGTATAAATGATGCAAAACACATACCCCCAGCTATTGTAAAACATTTAGTACTGCAGGACGGGCGGCAGAAACACTGCGCACTTGCACCTGACAAGTTGAAGCATAACGCCGCGCAAAAAAGTAAGCGTACAGGTATTTTACTGTGTGTGTAATTCAACACGAACCTCCGCAGATGAAGAAGTAAATGAGGAGGGCAGCTCCTGCTATGACTGTTGTAATAATAAGAACAGGGTTGTCCAAAGGATCGAACATTTCACAGCATACATTTACCTCTACCCCAAGCCACCAGCACACCTTTCAGCCAAGCCACTCTGCTTCAACACCGGAAGAAACCTGGCACTCGCAACGTGGTACGTCATGCAACCATATAAACAAAGGGGTGTTCTAAAACCCCAGTGAGATCCATCCCACCATAAACCGGTTTTTCATTCAGAAGATACAGTATTCCTTTCTTTGTGCCATCCAGCCAATTCAAGACCAGCCACATTTTCGTCTTTTTGTAGACACGCCCAATGGGTTTTAAAGCTGACATGGTAATACCCTAACATCTAAGCAACTTATTGCGTCATAATTGTGGCGGAAGCTCGAAATTTACTGCAGCTAGGTAGAGTACTGCCTATGGTTCAATCGCCTGGAATGCGGCTTGATCTTTGCCAGATCTGTGGACCTGATTCGTGCTTGGATGGGCAACTGCCGAGCCACGACGGATTTTTATAGGCAACGTTGTGGGGCAGGAGAAGGCAGTGCCACAAAATCCAATATTGTATGCTTCCCGTGCCTTTACCAACCCACACTGAATAGCATGGTGAATTATGGTCAAATAACACCCACGACCAGCCACAAGTGTGGCGAGACCTTAATCCAGCAGTGGATTTACAAAAAGAGCTGTTCCATGTACAGTACTGTAATGGAACACGCCTGAAGTAAATACCTTTAACAAGTGTTAATGGCAGCAATAACAAATTTAAATGTGTTAGGCTGGTGGCAGATCGTAGTTGGCAGTGGCTCCAGTGCAAATATTTACTAAATGAGGTCTCCTGTTGTAGCTTGGGGCCTGGGTTCCCTCAGGTCCGTGGGTCACTGGTGCAAATGCACCACCTACACATTTGGACAGCTCTGTCACCGAGTTCGGTCTACCAAACCTCAAACTACCCGAGTTCTCTGCTGAGGTTATACAAGTCTACTAGTACATGGTATCAGTAATTCATTTCCTTATTTTCTTAGAAATATAGTTGGGGGGGGGGGGGGTGTGGTAAGAACAGGCAGAATAAACACTGCCCAGCAAATAAAAGGCAATGAATGATATTACTCAGCAGGGTTGACCAAAACATTGTGAGATCCAAACTTCGCACAGCCCAACCGTATTGCACAACATGTGTATCGGCCACCGTCAGTGTTTATCACTTGTGGGGTTTTTTTTTCACAATTTCTCAAAGCGATAGGCGCTGATAAACCCTGGCCACGTGTTCGTTCAACCACCGATCCCGCTCTTCTATGCCGATTGTCTTTATACTATGCAGTAATAATATTCCGCGCAAATGAAATTCATACAAAATGTAAATAGTTCAAGGATTATGATGACTAATGCCTACTTTTTAGCAGCTCTTTCATGGTATAATGCAACTGTAAAAGATACAAAAAAGCACAAAAAAGAGCACTCTGAAGCACTGACACGTTGCCACTTGAGTGACGCTGAAATAAGGGTGGCAAATGTGCTGGAAACAGCCACCAGGGCGATTACATCGGCAGACCCTCGATAAACATGCAGAGCATGGCTCCATGACCATTAATGTGACTAACACATCCTCTACAACAACACTATTACTGGGCCTGCCAGTCTTGTGACGCAGAAGGTGAAAATGAGACCCTGAAATACCAGACCCAGTGCACTGGTGCATTTTACATCGTGTACTCGCGAGTGCTTATTGCACGACGCTCGGAACCGTGCTAACGGAAACGGCGATTGATATCTGAAGGCAATTTTTAACCCCTCCCCTACCCCAATCCACGCTACCCAGTGTGATAGAATATGGCATGGGGAGGCTTTCATCCAGCGGTATACATACTATATACAGGGGAATACAAACTCTTTGGTTCTTTCGGTAAAGTCACGTAGGTAGAACACAGTATTTTATAAAAACAGGATACACACTTTCGTGGTGCTACGTGGCTACGTGGTGGGAGGAAGAGGTCATTGCCGTAAATCCTCTTTTGTACCGTGCTGCTGTGCTAAAACATCTATTCTCCCCACCTTAAATAACCCTCACTGATCAACACAGTTGAGTATGTGGAAATAACCCGCACGACCCACATGACCTGCATGACAGAGGGGAGGCCCTAATGCTGAAGTGGATTTGGATGTATTTACAATAGTATGGCTAAATATGATACTGTCGTGGTCAGGCCTGATGAATTAAAGTTGAACTCGGAGGACACAAAGCTCTGCAAGAGAAGTGGCCAAACGGAGGAGGTGGGAGCATTACGTGTGGGGGGAACACGTAATGGTGGGTAATGAAGAAGACAGCCAAATGGGATTCGATGGGAGACATGACTACGGTACTTACTTAACGAGCTTTGGCACGTTCAATACTGCAAAACCAACATATGATTTCACAATATTCACATGACCACTGAGAGATAAAGATAACTTTATGGCAGCCATTACCGAGGAATTCACAGTTTATTACACTACACTATATGGTTCATATTCCATCAAAATAAAACACGGATGCCACATACTTTCTGGTCCGAAATAAATCTGGCAAAAAAGAGATTTCAACATAAATGGCGTAGTGCAATGGAAAATGTTATTAGCGCAATTTGTTTTTTACGTTGCCGCGTCCGCAATATTATATTCTCCAAGGAATCCCGAAACTTTGACCAGCCAGATGAAACTAGCCACAACTGCACCAAAATACACATGACCACCATGACTCAGGCCATGACACGTGAGATGGCCACATACTCGAGCTCAATAGGAAGCTTAGCGTCATGTCCTTGGCAAAGTAAGGTCAGACCCTTGGAATGAATGCTAGGGTTCGCATTCTAAAAGCATCAGCAAAGCTCCAGGGACCACGGAATGCCATCGCAACCCTCTCTCGCGGAGTGCATTTTTATGATTTACTGTTAAAGATTTATTAAAAAAACGATAAAGACTGGTTTAAATGGCAGTCGAAGTTTATTAATAATGGTCGGAACATTTCTTCAGAGTGTTGGCGATAAAGCAACATCTTATTACGTAAAAAAACTGGGACTGGGCTCAAGATCGATCGTATTATCCCAGATGTCCATTTCACACTTATCGTGCACCATTTATGCAAAATTGTAAAATGTACTGCATTATAAAAAGATTACCTCCACTGTGTATCATCCTATTAATACAGATACATACTGTAGTTTAAACGTATCAGAGTTACCGTAAGGCAAGTAACTTACAACCTTACCGCCTAACCCCAATTCATATTCATGTGTCATGTACACGGCCCAATATTTTTGTTCAAAAGGACTTCAGGGACCAATCACCTGCGCATAACACACTGGTGTTTCATTTGAGACTTCCTCAATCTGTCCATGTGGACTTAAGCCGTGTATCACCTTACAGTGTATAACAGCAAAGTGGTGCAGTGGAAAGGGGGAAATACCACCAGCACCGCAGCAATCTCCCCCCCCTACTCTGCCAAGTGCAGTAGCTCTCAAAATATCCCAGAGCCACACGTGTTTAGCGGCTACCCGACACAGTGACTCAAGAAGCCAACTCCGAGCAGTAGAAATAAATAGTACCTGCTATCACCGTCGTTACCAGTAAGAAACACGCTCCGTAACAATAACTGTAAAATTAAATAAAAAAAACAATTGCAGTTACGATTATACCTGATCATTGTTACTCTGCCAAGATCAAAGATAAGCTACAGTAATACTCAGGCACCCTTTGTTATAGTTAAATACTACAGGTAGAACTCATCCGCAAGTGATGTGGGCAGGAACATTGCAGATTCTTTAAAATGTCATCTTGTCCGTAAATATACTCTACTTGTCCGTGAAAATCTGCAGCTAATCACGGATAACAGCAAGAATATGGCTGCGGATAACCGTTTACACGGACCATGCGTCTCTTGAGGACTATAGGAGTCGCAAGTAGTAGGGTCACGGATAAGAGGCGTTATACTGCACTCTATACGCATAAACATGCATTGTGTATCAGTGGAGATATGACATTGTGCTATAATTATGGTAAATAGTATTTGTATGATGT